CACCTTTGACATTCTGAAGTGTACAACCACGAAAGCGGAATAGAGAATCAATCTATACATATTATAATATATTTGGCAACTTCGAAACACACATGCCACTTTTCCCATAAAACTACGAGTGCCAGAGAGTTGAAAGTTGGCAAGTAACTGCAAAAAAGATAGATAGGTCCCCATGACGAGCCCGATTTTTTATTTATTCATTTTCTGAATTTAGACAAATATATTTGACAAAAGTTCCCGTCCTTCTTTGGCCTTTGTGATTATTCCACTGAGAAACGAAACACATCTGCATAGCTGTCCATCACAGCGGAAGTGCCGGGAAGGATATTTCGCGAGGCGCATTTTGTTTGGAGAGTATAGACCTGGACCTTCTATTTTTTTTTTCATCTCTCAAAATTTATTGCTCATTTCACTAGAGTTTAAATATAGTAGGACAATGACTTTCAGTAGATGTTAATGCACCGATCATTCCTTTCATCGAAAGGGGGCCCAGCTAGTCTATTAATACTAGTAGACTTCGCGGTGCAACTTATCGTCAAATATTTCCTAAACCACAGAACACAGACTCTCCAGCTTTTGCACAATGACTTGTATTAATTTGTCTTATCTGATCAATATTTTTGTAAATACATGTTAGCTGTATTCTAGAAAATTCCTTAATAAATACTAATAAAAAATCCAAGTGGGTGGTTTCTACCGATTTTAAAGGTTTATAGCTGGGGCAATATCGCTTTTAAAAGCAAGTCCGTCATTTTATTTTCTCATCACGACGTTATGCTTATTGAACGCATGTTTTGAGAGTTTTTAGTGAAAAATTGTGTTCACTTTAAAACTAATTTCTCATAACAAGTTTTGCTACTAAAAAGTGTCATTGATAAGCTCAGACGTAGCCCTTGGAAAAATATGATTTAGTTAAGACAATTTGATATAAACTGCTGTACTAGGTATTGGAGACATTGATTCACCCGTTAAAAGAACAATTTCAGGATAAGTTGGGCCACGCATTTTTTTTAAACCGTACTATAAATCTTAATATTAGATACCCGTCAATGTCTGACAATGACCAATACATCCGCAGAGGAGAATATTTCCCCAGCGAAATAGAAGAATTTGAAGAATTAAAGTGGGTGGTTGGCGGGTGCTCTAGTGTGGTTTGCTCCTTCTTTCCTATCAAACATCTATCGTCCTTATCTCCCCTTCTTCTTTTATTATGTTTGTTACTCTCTCGTAACAGCTCTATTCTTCTGGCGCTCATATGACCTTATGTAATCGTGAGAGTGCGAGTTCGGGGGTTCGAGCCTCAGCTCGGTCCGACGTTGTGTCCTTGGGAAAGGCATTTTACACGAACTTCCCACTTGGCTCGGTCCTATCGGAGACGGACGTTAAACTAGGAGGTCCCGCCCTTTAAATAACCTAACAGTGTTGATAGGGGCGTTAAACCTATACCATTTTCATATGACCTTATGCAGTTGCGAATGCAGTAAAACCTCTACTAAAACTAAACTAAACTAAGAAGAATGAAAGGTTACGATAACTTGTGGCTTCCGCTGTGGCTGATGAGACGTAAACATTTTCTCCTCACTATCTATTGCTATTGTTATCATCATAGTTCAAGAGAGCCACTTGAACCTCACTCAGATACTGCCGATATATACGTAAATGTGAGGCAGCGTGGTGGAATCAGGCTCTCGTCAAAATAATCAAAGTGAACAAACCTGCATTTTTCCGCAGGGTTGTGAATTTTTATCAAATTTTTCATGCCCATTAAAGAACTCATTTCTGTGTGGATTTTTCTGAAAAGCGTTGATTAAAGGCACAAAAATGTAAATTTTCAGTTACCAAGGACTCTTAAACGAAGGAAATAACTAATCTTTGGCGGCCATTTTCTCACTAATTTTACCTCTGAAAACAGGTGACCCCCACCTCCTTCTTTCGCAAATATCTCGACTTGTATTCAAGATAAATGTACATTTTTTTCATCCTAATAAAGACAAGATGATACCAATAACTCTACATGCCAAAAATTGACGAGAGCCTGATTCCACCACGCTGCCTCACAAATATTTCTACAGACATACTTAACAAAACTTTGGTCATAGAAACGCCACCAGAGCACAATGAAGGAAGTACTCGAAGGCTAGAATGGGGTACAAGGATCAAGAGAAGATGGAGCAAAAACAACGAGAACCGATAACATCAGGACATGATCAAGGGCCGAAGTATGGTACAGTGTATGACGCCAGCAGAGAGCGATCGTAAACAATGGCGGGTAATTGCAGGTCAACCTCTGAGCCAGAGATGATACATCTATCTATCTATCTATCTATCTATCTATCTATCTATCTATCTATCTATCTATCCATCTATCTATCCATCTTTTTATCCATCTATCTATCAAGAGACCGTGTACAATGGCGAGTCATTGCAGGTCAACCTCTGAGCTATAGATGATACCTCTATCTATCTATCTATCTATCTATCTACCTATCTTATCTACCTATCTATATATCTACTCGTATCTATCTATCTATCTATCTATCTATCTATCTACCTATCTATCTATCTATCTATCTATCTATCTATCTATCTATCTATCTATCTATCTA